GCACCTTTAAGCCAGGGACGTCCCCCACTGTAGTAGACGTCTAAAAGTTCTGATTTTGCACTCTGCTGCTTATAATACTTTGGGGTAGCCCCCTCGATCCAGCTCCCTCCTGCTGCTGTATCCTCGTCCTGGTTTCAAGTCCCACACCTCCTACATTCCAAAAAGTGGTTGCTTTTCCAGTTGTAGAATTGCATCATTTCTTTTCTCAGGCCTCCCATTGATTTGACAGGTATTCAGAATGATTTGATAACTATCTAAATTCCAGGGACCAAACTTAGGGTCCCCTACTCCTCCACCATCTTAACTCCTCTCTGCACACAGGATTCTTAGCGGTTAGAGTATTTTATCCTGTAATGTCATGTTCTACCCTTTTAGTGTTTGGCTTTTTCAGTTTAGCATGTTTCAAGGTTTATGTGTATTGTAGTATGTATCAGTACTTTCTTCCTTTTTATGGCTAAGTTATATTGTATTTTACAAATATATCATTTTATTTATCCATTCATCTGTTGATGGACATTTAGGTTGTTTCCATCTTCTGGCTATTGTGAATATTGCTGTTATGACATTTGTACTCGTTTTTGTTTGAACATTTTTTAAATTTGGGGGGCACAGGTACAGAAGTATAATTGCCACAAGTCAGGCCAAGTAGTTTCTTAACTTTTTTTTTTTTTAAAGATTTTATTTATTTATTTGAGAGAGAGAGAATGAGAGAGAGCACGAGAGGGAAGAGGGTCAGAGGGAGAAGCAGACTCCCTGCCGAGCAGGAAGCCCGATGCGGGACTCAATCCCGGGACTCCAGGATCATGACCTGAGCCGAAGGCAGTCGCTTAACCAACTGAGCCACCCAGGCGCCCAGTTTCTTAGCTTATTAATTATGTATCAAGTGTCAATCATCTGATAGTTAATTATACTGTTCTGGGATTTGGCAGGTTTTTTTTTTTAGTAGGCTCCCCGCCCAATGTGGGGGTTGACCTCATGACCCTGAGATCAAGAGTAGCATGCTCTACCAACTGAGCCTGCCAGGTGCCCCTGGCAGTCAGTTCTTTAGAATACTGAAAGATTGTTAAAATAGCTAATGGTACTTGGAGATTGTGCTGTCTCCGATAAGAAAATAAATTTGTTTCTCCCTCATTGTAGTGTGAAGCTTCCCTAGTAAAAGGGCATGGTATATTATTTCTGCTGGGCTTCCAGGGACACCTTTAACGTGAAGAAAAAAAAAAGTATCATGCACCTGGCAAGGAAAGACAAATATGGAGGCAGCTCGGAACAAGTGTTATGCCCCTCTTTTGGCATCAGACATCTCTCCCAGTAGATTCTTGAACCTAAGAAAAAAGAATCTTCTCTTTGGAGCTGCCAAGAGGATGATTTGGAAATAAAAATGAGTGGAACTACTGGTACAATGGACTAAAGGGATGATCCCAAGAAACAGTTTCTTTGCCTTCCCATTTCATTGGTCTTAAAAATCTGATTTACTATTACTATTGTTTTGCAAAATTGCTTGGATTAGTAGTTATAAAGTGTGCGAAAGTAAAGCTGAGAGAGAGAAGGGAAAAAAGAAAAATGCCCGCACTCTACAATGTTAATAAGAACTGATATGTAGGCACAATTTTGGATTGGGAATTCTAGTTTATTGAAAATAAATTTTATTTTGGGTGACAAATATTTGAAGAACAGTACTGTATACTTCTGAATATTAAGAACAAGTTTCTTCTAGCAACTTTTGAAAATATCCAAAACATGAGTCTTTGAGTGGAGCTCACAGCAATTAATTTTTGGTAAATGAATCATCATAAAAGATCATTTGCAGTATCAAAAGAAAACATGTTCATATTCCACTTTGACAAATCCACCTCTAGCAAGTATTTCTGAGTGCCTAATGTGTAGAGGGTCTGTTTCAGTTGCTTGGGATACATTATGAACAGAACATAAAAATTCCTGCCCTCAGTGCCTTTTTAAAATTAGCATAAAGACCCTTAGCAAGCAGTTAGACAGAAAATGGACTCTTCCAGGATCTCTAGACGTGGCACCCATCTATTGGAATAAAAGCCCATTACCTAGAAAGAGCAGCCAGGCAGGGAGAAGGGAGCATTCGTGGCTATAGCACAGACCATGGTCTCCAGCTGATAATGTATTACTATACAGAGAGGTGTTCTGTGGGCCTACCCCAGCAAGGGGACAGCAGATAAAGCCTAAGTGCCCAATCATGGGGCTTTGTCACCTGGACTGCCAGTGAATGACTCAGACTACCTGGGTGAATTTATTCATTCTAGTGGATAGATGATCTTGAACTTAATAGCAAACCCAATCATAATTCTAAAAGATTATATATAAAAAGGGGTATGAGGGAGAGGATTCAAATATGTTAAGAAATGGAGAAAAAGTTGGGGCGCCTGGGTGGCTCAGTCATTAAGTGTCTGCCTTCAGCTCAGGTCATGATCCCAGAGTTCTGGGATCAAGCCCCACATTAGGCTCCCTGCTCAGGGGGGGTCTACTTCTCCCTCTCCCATTCCCCCTGCTTGTGTTCCTTCTCTGGCTGTCTCTGTGTCAAATAAATAAAATCTTAAAAAAAAAAAGACTTCATAATATATCACCTATTATAAAAACAAACAGTAGCCTCTTGATTATTTTCAGGGAATACAGCACTAACTAGTTATCTTGTTTTGTGCAGATGCATCTCGGCAAGGGTGTTGGCAGCTCTAGTGTGTGATGTTCCATTTCCAAAGTCCTAGGATGTTATTCTCGTTTTCTTGATTGAAACAATCTTCAGTGAAAAATTCACTATCAGGCTAGAAAGATCGAATATTTTGGCTCATATGAGGTTTATGCTAGCCCTGATCCCAAAAGGAGGATATACTGCTAACAGAATGTAGGGAATGGGTCATGAGCAGTCTTGTGCAATATCTTTATGAATGACAATTTCGTATATGAACATATTTAAAAATCAGTAGGAAAGGGGTGAATTATCAAATGGTATGTGGAATTGGATATTAATACAAAAGGGGAAAAAATGTAGATTCTTAGGTCAAATGACATCAAAGGAAGCACTGGATATATAGAGACTTACTTTGCATGCAGTTAAGATGGTGAATGTTTTGCTCTGTCAGTATGATGATGGATCCAGGTAGCAATGCTGGCAATCAGGATAGTGAAGGCTTGCTCAGCAGCTTGATTCCAGTCACTATTATAGAATACTCACTTACCAAGGGCATCTAGTTTAACAACTCAGATGTGCTTAGCAGCTGACTTTCCCCCCCACAGTTCACAGCACCAAAGAAGAGTGCTTTTGTCAGCCTGCAGTTTTACTACCAGCGTGTCAAAAAGCTGGGCACAGTAAGAACCAGTCAATTAAAACGCCGCAAGTTTCAAACGGAATATCTGCCAGTGTTGAGAACATCCTTGTGTCCTGCCCATTGAGAGGAGCAGCCCCATCAATTTTTGGGTCTGCATAATTGCACTGAGGTTGAATAGTCAGTGTCCAGTGATTCCCACTAGCCTGTTAGTGAATCAGGCCCAATTAAAGTGACTTCTATGAACTGGGGGCCCTACTGAGCCCTCAACTTTGCTTCTGGCAGCAGAGTGGGGGAATAAGTTTCCTCTGTAAGGGACAGCTGCTACAATCTGATATATAGCTAAGATATTGCTGGGACCAGGACAGCTGTATTCTTGAATATATCATGTGCATTTTACACCTGAGGCTTGTGTCCTTTGTATCTTTTTAGCCAGTGGAGCCCAAGAGTAAGCTAAGAGCTGCTTTACAAAAGGTGTATACTTGGTAGCCTTGCTAGGGTATCAAGTCGAACCACCCTTCTCCCCTACCCCAAGGGCATCTCCTTTTGCCAGAAATTCCAATCAACAGAATGACTAGTTACAGAAACTGAAGCGCAAAGTGGTCATTAAGGGCTGTGGGACCTCAAAGGTATTTTCTTCACACGTAACTCTTCCTGACTGGGAGAATCCCTTCTGAATTATTGGAAGGGGAAGTATAGCATGTAACACATTCCTACTACACTTTCAGGTTTAGAAGTAACCACAATATACTGCACTGGCCAAAAGAGCCCGATTTATTCACAGGGTCACATTCATTTCCCTTGCCTACTGTAACCCCTGCCCTAACAACATTTTTTTTATTTAGATACTCCCTACCTCCATGTAAAGTGATAAGATGTTGACTTGGGCACCTGTTTCCCATAAAAGTTCGAGCCCCTTTCCTCCCTCAAAGTTCCCCAAAATACTTGGGTGGGTGCCAATGGCCATGGGTCCCCATTGGAGACAGGAAGATTTCTTTCCCCTGAAACAGCTGATGTTGGGGTATATGGAGGTACAACAAAGTGTGAAGAGTGACTTCATGACATTAAAGAAGCATTTGCTTTACTTGCACGAGGTGTGCTCACATTTCAATCAAAAATCTTCCTATCTTTTAGGTTCATCGAAAGCCCTGGAACAGGTGGTATCATCTATTTCAGTACATTGAATGATTTTTTTAAAATGAATTCTCTGATGATCTTTGAGGAATTCCTCACAACACCAACTCTTTAATAAATGCTGTACCCACTGACTGATGTAAGCTTGGCTTACATAATAGCTTTCTACTTCCCGAGTAGAGGGATCGCTAAATTATGTTCCAAAGGAAATAGACCTAAACATGCAAGAGCTCAATAGAATACAAGATCACTGCTTGATCACAAAATGTTCAAATGGTAAAGATGTGAATGAGACTTTTGTTCCACATATTTCAGGCACCCTGGCTTTTACCTTGTAAAAGTTGTGCCATGTTAAAGCATGATACTCAAGGTTGTCCTGGGTCATCTCCATTTTATCCTGACAGCATCCTAGTAGTTTGTCAGCAAGGTGTTTTGTCACAAATGGATGTGGCATAAAATATGAGCATCCACAGTCCCAAAGACCTACTTGGAGGAAAGGGAGACCAGGAAATTTTGCGTGAGTTATCTAAAGGGCATGGCTTCATTCAAAAGGGCTTTCCATAGTACCTTGAAAGAAATATCAGCTCGTGTATTCTCTGATATACTTTCAGGGTTGCTTTTTGGATAAAATTCTTCCCACATTCATATTTGTATGGTTTTTCTCCTGTGTGGGTTTACTGCAGTCAAATGGCTTGGTTTTTCAGCCATAAGGATTTTCCATAGTTATTATATCAATAGGGTTTTCCCCCTCCCTGAATTGTCTGGCAAACATTTAGAGTTGACTTCTTACACAATTTCCCAAATTCATTGCATTCATAAGATTTCTCCCCACTGTGAATTCTCTGATGTATTCTGAGGTTTGATTTCTGGCCAAAAGTTTTCCCACATTTGTTACACTGAAAAGGTTTCTCCCCTGTATGAATTCTCAGATGATCACTAAGGATTGCCTTCCGGACAAATTTTTTCCCACATTCATTACATTTAAATGGTTTCTCCCCAGTATGAATCCTCTGATGCACTCTAAGGGTTGATGTCCGGGCAAAAGTTTTCCCACACTCACTACATTTAAATGGTTTCTCTCCTGTGTGTGTTTTCTGATGTTGAATGAGATGGTCTTTTCGCCAAAAGGATTTTTCACATACATTACATTGATATGTTTTCTCACCACTGTGAGTTCTCTGATGTATCCTGAGGTTTGACTTCTGGCCAAAAGTCTTCCCACATTCATTACACTGAAAGGATTTCTCCCCTGTGTGAATTCTATGATGATCTCTGAGGGTTGACTTTTGAATAAAAGTTTTTCCACATTCACTACATTTATAGGGTTTCTCTCCTGTATGAATTCTCTGATGTCCCCTGAGGGTTGACTTCTGGACAAATGTTTTCCCACATTCGTTACACTTATAGGGTTTCTCTGCTGTGTGAATTCTCCAATGTGTACTGAGGTGTGACTTCTGGGAGAAAGTTTTTCCACATTCATTACATTCAAATGGTTTCTCTCCGGTGTGAGTTCTCTGATGCTGAATGAGATGTCCTTTTTGAAAGAAGGATTTACCACATTCATTACATTTATAGGGTTTTATCTCAGAGTGAGTTCTCTGGCGTACTTTGTGGGCTGACATCTGGTAGGATTTCCTATTTTGATGATATTCAAAGGACTTATCCCCAGTTTGTGTTCTATCATTATATACCATTGGGTTCTCTTCCGTGACAATTCTCTGAAGTTGAGTGAGGTGTGACTTCCTGTTGAAATTACTTTCACTTGCATGACATTCATTCTGTTTCACAGGCATGTTAAACTTACTGTATTCCTTGACAGCTGATTTCCCGCAGAAAGATTTCCCACATTGGTTAAGAGGAGAGTGTTTCTCCCCTACCCCAGTTCTTTTATAGTCAAAGATAGTTGTTTTTTCACTTTTTCCCCTAAATTCATCATCTTTATAGGATTTTTCTCTTGTGTGTATACTCTTACATGTAACGCAAGCAGCCTCGCCATAGAAGGCTTTTCCAATTTCATATCTAAAAGCTTGCTCCAAAGTTTGACACTTTTGATTCTTAGGAAGATTTTCCTTATAACTGAGAGCTTTCCCATTTTTTTTATATTCATGAAACTCCTCTCCAGTATGAGTTCTCTCAAACTTAATTTTGAAAGACAAATTTTCACATACACTATAGCAATTTGGTTTTTTTGTTGGATAGGTTCTATTATTAACAAGCTGGGAAATATTTTGCAAATTTACTCCCCATGAGTCATATTTACAGGATATTTTTGTTGAAACAGGAGCTATGTGCAGATTAAACTGTTTTCCCAAAACTTCTTCCTCTCCAGTCAATGGTTTATTATCGATGAATAATATTTCCTGAAAGTGTTTATCTTGGATTTTCTTTTTCCTCTTCATCAGGTCATCATCTCTGTAATCTTCTAAAACAGAGATAAATTGAAAACATCTTATGAACCTTACATTTCTTATGGATGGGAAATATATAGCCTATATTGCATTCATTTTTTGGTTTTCCAAGATTAAATAATTTATGTATGTATCCTCACCCTCCTTTAAAAACAGTACTGATATAGTGAAAATGAGAGAGGAAACTGGTAATAAATACATATCTGTATTTGGATTGTGATCAATTGCATTTTCCTACGGGGGTGGAGAAAGAATAGAAATGAGACTTTTATAGGAGTGTTTAGTTTAACTCCTAACACTAGAGGAGTTATTTCAGGGAACAGGAAAACCAGATAATGGGATGAACACAATGGGACTACATAAACTTAAGTACAGTAACAAAAGAATTAGGAGATAATGAACACTGATGGACTAGGCCCAACAGGGGAAGAGTTTGCTTTGAGGAGATACAGTCCTACACTATCTAGGCTACACTGATAGAATCCTCAAGAGTCCACTATTTCCAAGCTGATATTCCTTATTTCCATTCAATTCTTCAATATCAAATCAAAATTGATAGTACAACTTTCCTCATGATTAAATGAGGAAGTTTATAGCTCAGGATCTAACCCATCTTATAGCTGTAAGTCACAGAAATACAAACAAATGTAAAACTGAAAAAAGGAAAATCTATTCTTGCAACTAAATTAGATTCACTGCTCAATTCCTACTGTGGTACCTTTATTTTATCAAAATTGAATGGTAAGTGAACTTGATCACTTCATCCTAAATTTCCACATTTCAATTTGGTATGTATAAAATATATACATATGTATTTTATGTATGCATGTATGTATGTAAGCTCTATGCCCAATGTGGGGCTTGAACTCATGACCTTGAGATCAAGAGTTGCATGCTCTACCGACTGAGCCAGTAAGGTGCCCCAAGGGGTGTTATTTTAAATGGGGTATCAAGGAAGGCCTTGTTGCAAAGATGGCACTTAAGAAAGGACCAAATCATTTATGCATTCTAGATGGCTGTCCTTTGAGGGTTTTAATGAGTTGCAAATACCATCTGCTATTTTTAGTTCATCTCTTCACTCTCTTAACTATGAAACATAATTTATATCTGCATAAAACTTGTGTGTACAGTTTAACAGTACAGAGTGAACACTAGTATAATTAGAAACCATGTCAACCTGAAATCAATACTACACTGTATGTTAACTAACTTGAATTAAAAAAAAAAAATGTCAAGAAATAGAACACAAAAATGGCCCTGCAAACATCCCTACTTATCTCTAACTTCATGCTTAAGAGTTCACTACCCTCCTAATATTTACGTAATTGTTTCCTTGATTTTGTGTGGTTTTATCACCAATATATGAGTTCTTAAAAATGTAATTGAGTTTTGCATTTCTGACATTTACATAAATGTAACCACACATGTATATTTATATTGTTTGGTTTCTTTTTGCTTAAGATTATGTAGCTAATTATCCCTTGAGGAATACAATGCTTTCTTCATTCTACTCCTGATGAGCCCAATTTTTAACAAAAACAAACAATACTGCCATAAGTAAATATTGTTTTATTTATCCTAGGGAATATAATCATGCCTTTCTGTAGGGTATGTAGTTAGGAAAGGAATTCCTTGGTTGAAAATTATGTAAAACTTTAACCTGACTTGGAAATATCCTCCTGATTATACAGTGGTTTTACCAGCTTACATTTTCCATCAGTAAGTAAGATTCTTTAATATTTCACATCCTCATCAAGACTTGGCTTTGCCAAATTTGTTAATGTCACATCATACCATGTGTCTCTCATCTCACTTTGTATTTTATTTTGCATTCCGTGAAAGCTAATGAGAGATTGAACACATTTTCAAAGATTTAATGGCCATTTAAAAGTTCCTGTTCAGTCTTTTGCTTATTTTTCAATTGGGTTGCCACCTTTTCCTACGTTGACTAGTGGAAGTTTTTACATTTTCAGAGTACTTATCCTTTCTAGGTTACTTGTATTATATACATATTCTGCTTCTCTATGGCTTGTCTTCCCATCCTTTTAACAGTATATTTTACAAACAAAGTTCTCAATTTTAATGTAGTCAAGTTTATTAATCATTTTCTATTGATTGGTGCTTTTTTTGCCTTTGAGCTTAAAAGGAAAAGTCTTGAAATACAAAGGTGTTTAATGCCAAACTGACCTTCTGGAGTCTTAAATATCCCAAGAGAATTCTGTCTGCTAGTGCTCAGGAACTCCCCTCGGTGGCTCTGGTTTGAGAATTCTTCCTCTAAGAACCAAGGCTCCTCTCCTTGCTCCAACTTGAAGATTACTGCTGGTTTGAAAATGCAGTTCCCTGTAAACAGGGAACAATGGAGTATTTAGGACAGATGATGAGCTTTTTAGTTTCTAAAGTGTAAAAAGATACAGCTTCAGAAGCAGCACCCTGAAGATCCTGATTTGAACTTATCATGGGGAGTTGACAAAACACTTCTTTTATTCCTCAAAAGGGCTTAATTTTATACTCCTGAATGAAATACCTCAATAACATTAAAATCTAAATAAAATATTCATCTGTATCAGTGCATAAAAAGGAAATACCTTCTATGTGCTGTGATGAGGGTAAGTTATACCTATATGCTTACCCACTGAGACTAGGTTGTTGTAGTTCTCCAGCATCACATCTCTATACAGGGTCCTCTGAATAGGACCCATTTGCTGCCACTCCTCTTGGGTGAATTCCACAGTCACATCCTTGAATGACACTGATGCCTGCAACAGACATTTCTGCTCAATCTGAAGGGTTCAAAATTAGGTGACATAGAAAATACCCCTAAAAACAATTCTTATGTTTACTGTAAAGAATTGAAAACAAATATATACAAAGGATGCATATTTTGAATCTAACTTTAACTTATATTTTGGAGGTATTCAATGAGTAAAAATATTTATAACTATTTTTATATACTTATGAGTTCCATGCACATATTTTAAGTATATTAAACTTTGTTTAAAAAAATTTTATAAGCAAAAATGATAAATTTCTTACAATTTTTACCCAACACCCCAAAATACTACCCTAGGCATATTCTAGGGTAGGAGTCAGCAAATTATTACCTGTGGCCAAATCTAGCTTGACACTTTTTTAATAAATAAAAGTTTTCCTGCAACATAATCACGAATACCCAATCATTCTGTATTGTTCATCGTAGGTTTCGTGCTGTAACAGCATAGCCTAGTAATTCTATCAGACCTTATGACTATCAAAACTGAAAACATTTACTATCTGATCCATTACAGACAAAATTTGCCAACTTTTGGACCAACCAATCAATTAAAAGAAAGACTAACAGCATAAAAACAACAAAGAAAACACAATTAACAGAGAGGGATATATGTAGATTGAAAATAACAGGACAGAAAAAAATATACATAATTATGAGCCAAAAGAAAGTTGGTTATATTAACATAAAAACAATCAAGGTAAGAAAGTATGACAAAACACAGTAACTATTTATGATCCTTTTAACAGAAAATATAAAAAACATAAATTTGTGTGCATTTGAAAACCTAGCTTGCAAATACAGTCAATTCTCATTATTCACAGATTCTTTATCTGCAAATTAACCTCACTAAAATATACTTCTAACCTAAATACTCATGATTTTGGGGTGCCTGGGTGGCTCAGTCGTTAGGCATCTGTCCGCCTTCGGCTCAGGTCATGATCCCGGGGTCCTGGGATCAAGTCCCACGTCAGGCTCACTGCTCTGCGGGAAGCCTGCTTCTCCCTCTCCCACTCCCCCTGCTTGTGTTCCCTCTCTCGCTCTCTCTCTGTCGAATAAATAAAATCTTTAAAAAAAAAATACTCATGATTTTGCAGTATTTAAGGACACTCACAGAAAGGTACAAGATTTGAGCGTCCAACACATTTTCCAGCTGGAGCTGAACAAGATAATGCTTTGCCAAATGTTCTTTTTGCAGACGACTTAGCACATTCTTTGCATTTTTGTGATTTTTCTTGTGTTCCCCTACCTGTGTAATGAGAAATGCTGTGTAGTGTTCCTGAGTGCAAGAAGGTTGTGATATGCCTTAGGGAGACCAAGTGTGTTAGATAAACTTTAAGCATTAATTATGGTGCAACAAATAACTTGAGGCCATGGGCTGTTAGTTCTTGTTCATGAAACAATGTATTAAAGTATTTTTAAACAGAAACACACATAAAACAAGGTTGTGTATTGAATGGTTGACCAAAATGTTTTGACTAGAAACTCAAAGGGACTTAACACTGTATTTCCCCTAGAAGCAATGATTCAGTATTTGCTAATTTAATGTTCATGGTGATTTTATAGAAAATAACCATGTGAATAGTGAGAGTCAACTATATATAACAAAAGTTGATAAAATGAGATAGATGGATCCATAATTATAATTAGTTTTATAATATTTTAACACAACTCTCAACTCAGGGCAAGCTGACTGAAAAAAAAACAATAGAGATTTAGAAAGGGGTCAGCAACAGTCAAGAGGGAAAATCTGGCCTGCTGTTTTTTGTTTGTTTTGTTTTGTAAGTAAGATTTTACTGGAACACAGTCATGTTCATTTGTTTATGTATTATCCATGGCTGCTACAGCACTACAACTGTAAAGTTCAGTATTTCCAAAGAGACCATATCTCCCACAAAGCCTACTACCTTACATTTACAGATGAAGTTTGCTGACCACTGATATAGAAGGTTTAAATGACATAAATAACCAATTTGAGTAACTGAAACATATCAGATAACATAATCACAACAAATTATTTTCTAGTGCATTTTGCATATTAAAAATAAAGACAGTAAGTCTCATCAAATTAGAAAAGATTACAAACATACAGTGTGGCTTTGGATTTTAGTGTAGAGAGCTGAAAAGAGCAATACTAACATCCTTACAACAAGAACAAAGCTAGACAGATTGAAAATTAAGGTCTTTTTTTTTTAATTCATCAGAGAAATGAAATTGCTTAACAAATAAACAATTTGAAATCAGGAAAAAGGTAGGCATCTGTAGGGAGAATCAGGACCCACCTGTTTGCTTCCTGGACCATATGCTATCAAATTTCATGTAAGATGACAGAAAGATAAAACTAGAAAAATTTTAACAACCTGCTAAAGGCCACATGTGCACAAATGTTAGAGTGTGAAGTCCCTGAGGAGGTGGTGTATGTCACAGATATAGTGTGATTTCTACCTTTTTGTGACATTTTCTCCAGGAACCTAGTCTGTTCACAGAAAGGACTGGGGGAGAATTTTGGGGAAGTCCCTTCCTGCCCCATGAGGTATTGGCTAGTGTAGGGGAAGAAAAGTCACCGCTTAAATCACTCAGATCTGTATCACTTATTTCGGGAAAGGTCAATAAAACAAATAACTTGAGGCCATGGGCGGCATCCCTTGCAGTAAGGGTAGCAGACATTACCAAAATGCTACCCAGACCCATCTGCCCAATCTCTCCTAGGGAATAAAATACCTAAATGACGAGATGCAAGTTCTTAGTGCCTAAAACTGAGGTTAAACTGGAAGATAAGTCCCAGAGATCTGTCCTTATTTGACCTGTCTGGTAGCTCCATGGAACATCCCATTCATAAAACGGTCTTCATTTGATCTAACTCAAAGCTCACCGACTGCAAACAGCATTTTCTCTGGGGGCGTGACATTAGTTAAGAAAGAAAAAACTCATGGGATATTCTTTACCATCATGGCTACCTCAGGCAGTTTGTAATAATTAAAGGAAACAACAGTGTAATTAAAAAGCTTAAAAGGAAAAGTTGGAGCATGATATATACAGAAGGGGCTGTGAAAGCTCAGACTTCTCTCTGGGAATCTAGAAGGTAGCACACATGCCCTGGCCTATGTGCATATTCAGGAAACATCTGAGAAAGTACTAAACTTGGCTCTCATTAACCTTGAGGCTCTGTGAAAGAAAAGTGAAGGTGAATGCAAGGTAGTAAAATGCCAAGCTAACTGCTGAACTGTGGGACACAATCAAACATCCAACCTATACATAGAGCATCTTGGCAAAGATTGGAGCCTTACTGGTTACAAGTACTTAAGGAAATCATTGTCCAATTATTAGCTATTTAGCTAATGGAGTGGAGACTTCAGTGGTCACACATGACAAAGAATATAGGTTGTACAGAATCCGTTCAAAAGAGTCACTAAACAAATGACAGCTGTGGTGGAGTGGTATTCTGATGATAAACTGACACGTTTTATTTTAAATATCAAGTTTTTAACAAAAATTTAAGACCTACAAATAAATGAAAAAGTATGGCTCATACACAGGAAAAACAAACAAACCCAATACTATGTATGAAACCATGTAGAAACGGTCTCTGAGGAAGTCCAGACATTGGACTTACTAGACAAACACTTTTTTTTAAAAGGATTTTCTTTATCTATTTGAGAGAGAGAGCACGAATGGAGGCGGGGAGAGGGAGAAGGAGAAGCAGACTCCTGACTGAGCAGGGAACCTGATGTGGGGCTCCATTCCAGGACCCTGGGATCATGACCTGAGCTGAAGGCAGACACTTAATGAACTGAGCCACCTGGGCACCCCTAGACAAAGACTTTCAATAAACTGTTCTAAATACATACAAATAACTAAAGAAAACCATATCTAAAGAAGCAAAATAAAGTATGGGAACACATTCTCACTGAATAAAGAATTAGAAATAATACATATCTGATGAAAAAGTAAACTGAAATTCTGAAATTTGAAAATTTGAAATTTGAAATATGAAAGTACAATAATTGAAGTGAAACATTCCTTAGAGGTCTCAATAGCAGAACTGAACATGCAGGAGAATCACCCAATTTTGAATACAGACCTAGTGAGATGATACAATCTGAGGACAGAAAGTAAAAATAGGGAAAATGAACAAAAAGCCTCAGTGACCTGTGGGATAAAATCAAACATCTAAATATAGCAACATCCAAAGGAGAGGAGTAGTAGGAGGAGAGAGAAGGGGCAGAAAAACAGAATGATTCTTGAAGCAGCAAAGGGGAAGTGACTTATCACTTTTTTTTTCTGTATTTTAGATGTGCCTTTGAGTCTTTTTTTTAAAATTTTTATTGTTATGTTAATCACCATTAGTTTTTGATATAGTGTTCCATGATTCATTGTTTGTGCATAACACCCAGTGCTCCACGCAGAATGTGCCCTCTTTAATACCCATCACCAGGCTAAC